GCGGCGACCCCCAGCGCGGCGCAGGAGCGAACAATGCCGCCTCCTGCGCCGCGGCCGCCCCAGCAGCGGCCGCTTCCACTGCAGCAGCAGCAGCAGCAGCAGCAGCAGCAGCAGCAGCAGCAGCAGCAGCAGCAACAATTCAAAAACAGCGAGGTTGAAGCGCGACCTGGTGCATCACAGGACATATCCGCCGACGAGGGGGGCCAGCGCACCACAGGAGGCGCCCGAGTGGTGGATGAAGGCGAGGAAGAGTGGGCGCAGGAGTGGGGGCGCATCAGCAGCGGCATCATGGAAAGTGATGACGCGGCCCGACGGGTCGGGCAGCTTGTGCAGCCGCTTGGCGTGCGAGCGCATCACCAACATTTGCCGGAGCAGCAGCAGCAGCAACAGCAGCAGCAGCCGGAGCCGCCGGAGCAGCACCTGGAGCTGTGGGAGCAGCAGGAGCAGCAGGACCGGCAGCAGGGGTTGGTCGCCAACGGCCACTCGGCGCTGCTGGAAGGGGTCCCCCCTGCCTCGGCAGCTGCGCTGATATCGCGGCTCAACAGGCACAGCGAGGCGCTGCTAGAGGCGGACCCAGGGGTAGAGGCGCGCGGGGCGGAGCGCCTGGGCAGCTTGCACAGGCAGCTGGCGGCGGCAGCGGCCGGCGGCGCGGCGCCGTCGGCGCGGGCGCCGGACGCCCTAGGTGCGGCGGCGCTAGGAAAGGCGGCGCTCGGGGAGCTGGGGGCAGGGGGCAGCGGCGGGGGAGCAAGTGGGGCTGATGGCAGCGTGGTTGGCTCGGCAGGTGCCCTGGCCGAGGGCGGTGCGGAGGGCGGCCGCGCGCCCGGGCAGCCGTCGGCGCAGGCTGAGCTGGTGGGACGGCCGCCATCTCAGCAGCAGCAGCAGCAGCAGCAGGGCGTGGTGACCGGCATCAGGGCGCCGCGCGTCAGCGAGGACGACTTCAGCTTCGTGCTCGAGGCTCCGGCCGCAGCGGAGGCCACGCTTGCGAAGGCCGCCAGCTCTCGCCCCTTGTTACCAAATGCCAGCGTGGCGGTGCGCGCGGCAGGCCCCCATCTGCAGGATCTACCTGGGCAGGAGGATGGCTCTTTCTATGCGCCCACGGTCGCCGACGACCACCCAGGGGGCGGCGCCGCTGTTGGGCCATCAGCCGAGGTTGAGCCTGCCCTGGCTTTGGCGCCTGTGCAGGAGGCAGCGGCAGCAGATGGGGTTGGTGAGGGTGGGCATGCGGAGGTGGAGCGTTGGAGCACTGAGCGGCAACAGGCTCAGCTTGGCAAGAAGGACGAGGAGCAGCAGGAGCAGCAGCAGCCGGAGCAGCAGCAGCAGGAGCAGCAGCAGCAGGAGCAGCAGCAGGAGAAGCAGCAGGAGAAGCAGCAGGAACAGCAGCAGCAGCAAGTGCAGCAAGAGCAGCAACCCCTTGAGCAGCAAGGGGAGCAACCCTTCAAAGCAGCGGCACGCAAGCGCGTCAGATTTGCACCTCGCAGCGCTGCACCACAGCCTGCAGCCGAGGCCCAGGTTCTCGGCGGCTCAGAGTCGAGCGCCGCCGCGGCTCCTGATTCGCCGCCCACGTCTGCTCGTCAGCCGCAGGCGCAACATACTGCTGACGCGGAGGTCACGGATGCCATAGAACCGCATTCGCAGCAGCAACAGCCCCAACAGCTGCTGCTGCCGATGCCGCAGGCCGAGGTGCCGAAATCTGCGGCGGTGCCGGCCCAGCAGCAGCAGCATCCGCCGCAGCCGCAGCAGCAGCAGCAGCAGCAGCAGCAGCAGCAGGCGCCGCCCCCCCAGATCGATCTGGAGGCCGAGCTGGAGGCACTCGATGCTCAAGACGCCTCCCTGCGCGCGCAGCAGCGCAAGGCGGCGCGCTCCGCCGAGGCGCCGACCGCCGACATGTACGCCGAGTGCCAGGAGCTGCTGCGGCTGTTCGGCCTGCCCTACATCGTGGCGCCGGTGGAGGCGGAGGCGCAGTGCGCGTGGCTGGAGGGGGCGGGGCTGGTGGACGGGACGGTGACGGACGATAACGACGTGTTCCTGTTCGGGGGGCGGCACGTGTACAGGCACCTGTTCGACGACAAAAAGTGAGGGTGCACAGGACCCCAGGCCCCCGAGGTTTGCAACTGCAGGGTTTGCGATTTCATTCACGACAGCTGGGCCCTGTTTTGAGTGTTCGTTCAGCAGCCGCTGAGCCGCCCTGGGTAGCTGCGTGGTTGGCGCTGGGAAACGGCGCAGTGTCTGTGCTCATCACCAGTGCTATCCCCGCTGCGACCCACACCACCTACCAACGACACACCCGCCCAAACCACCCAACTTTCTCTGTACCCCAACCTCCAGCCCGCTTCCCCCCAGAACAACCGCCCTTTGCCACTGTAATCTAACATATTTGAACCCCAGTCTCACCATGCACCACAACCGCCACGACAACCGCCATGACTAAAGGTATGTCGAGGAGTTCCACATGTCTGACGTGGAGCGGGAGCTGGGCCTGGGCAGGGAGGCCCTCGTCACGCTGGCGCTGCTGCTGGGCAGCGACTACACAGAGGGCTGCCAGGGTGGGTGGGCGAGCGGGCGGCAGCGTCCAGGGGGTTCGGCGTCGCAAGCGGTCTCGTCTGGGAGTCGTTGTCTTGAGGGGTAGCTGTGGGGGTGGGGGGGGTTCTGATCCGATGCTCAGGGCGGGCGCCGCGCCGCTACCATGTAGCAACGCCTGCAGCGCAGTCGGCCGGGCGCCACTTGCGCCCTCATGCTCCCGCACGTCCGTCCGCCTGCGACGAGCGCGCGCCGCCCACCTCTCAGCGACGACGGCCGCCCCTTCGCGAGGACACGCGTCCCTCATACGTCACACACATGCAATCCCCCTTCCCTGTTTCCTCCACAATACCGTATTCACAGGTGTGGGCATCGTCAATGCAGTGGAGGTGGTCCACGCCTTCCCGGGCCTGGACGGCCTCGCCCGCTTCAAAGACTGGGTGCGCGCGCCAGACGTGCGCGGCCTGCTGGAGGACGCGCGCGCCAAGGCGGCAGGCAAGGCGGCCGCGCGGGGGCGCGGTCGCGGGCGGCGCAAAGGCGGCAAGGGCGGCGAGGGGGCGGAGGGAGCGGAGGGGCAGCAGGAGCAGGACGAGCAGCAGCAGCAACAGGAGCAGCGGCAGTCGCAGGGTGAGCAGCAGGAGGGGCAGGAGCAGGAGCCGGAGCAGCCCGGCGGCCTCAGCGCCGACCAGAGGGTCTTCTTCGCCGCCCACGCGGGCGTGCGGCGCAACTGGCAGGTGCCCGCGACCTTCCCCTCGCCGGCGGTGGTGGCGGCCTACCTGGACCCGCGGGTCGACCCCAACAAGGCGCGCTTCAGCTTCGGGCGGCCCGACCATGAGGCGCTGCGCGAGTTCTGCTGGTGGGTGTCTGTGGGAGAGTGTTTTGTCTGTGGCCAGGGCTTTTTTCGGGGGGGGTATGGTGGGGTGGGGTGCAGGGAAAGAGGATGGTGTGGAGG